CATGATAATTGCATTTCATTTTCATTCTGTTTAATATTCAACAAGTTGAACAGATAATCCACACGAACYCCGCTACTTGGTATCGGTATCGGTGAGTACCTAAACTGAAGTACTCATACTTGTACTCAGTCTTGAAAAAACTGGTATCGGGACACCCCTAATTCAGACCAATTATAACCATCAAGACAAATTAAGTCATATCTCTGGAGAAGCTGATGACATCAGGATGATCCAGGTATCAAAATGTAGCTTTTAAAGCAGGAATCTGAAAATGTAATCAGGTCATTTTGACCAAATTTGACTTCATCCTCCTGTCGATATGATGGGTCACATATTCCCATGGAATTTAGGGGTTGAAATGACAATAAATTATCTTTTAAAACAGCATGGGTTTTATGAGGGGGGTCCCATTGTAAGGGGTCCCCAGACCCAAAAGTTTTGAGAACCCCTGATCTACAGGTTAGTCTGGGCACTGACACCACATCAGGTTGAAGGGTTATTGACCAGGTTTGACTCTGATGTGATGTTGTGTAATTCTTTCATCCTAGCCCTTTAATTCTGTTATTAGAGGCTTATTAATTATTTTATAAATATCTTTCTCTGCTCTTTACCAGGTTATCCCAGCATGCTCCTTTATCTGAGCTCCTCACAGAGCCTCAGCTTCCATCATATGACTTATAAACAGTGTGGTGCCTGTTTTCAGACGGCTGAGAGGAAATTAGCTGAGATTTGCTGCTTTGTTGTTGAACAGACCTCCATGGACGTAAAGTTCATCTCGGATTTCCCTGCTGATCTGTGCTGGAGTGATGTACTCCTTTCCATCCAGGGTGTGCACCACGTCCAGCTTCTTGTCTTCCACCAGTTTGTTGATTATTTCTATACAGTTTCTCTCTGACAGCCTGTAAAAAACAGAAACAGAGTCCAGTTTATTATTACTGAAACAGCTGTTAACAGAGAGAAGAATGTTCTCAACAAACTTGGCTGCAGTTTGATAAACAGTTAGCTCTAATGCTAACAAACTCTAAGCTCACAGTTAGCTGAAGTTAGCTCTAATGCTAATAAACTCTAAGCTCACAGTTAGCTGAAGTTGTGTTTACAAACTCTAAGCTCACAGTTAGCTGAAGTTAGCTCTAATGCTAATAAACTCTAAGCTCACAGTTAGCTGAAGTGGTGTTTACAAACTCTAAGCTCACAGTTAGCTGAAGTTAGCTCTAATGCTAATAAACTCTAAGCTCACAGTTAGCTGAAGTGGTGTTTACAAACTCTAAGCTCACAGTTAGCTGAAGTTAGCTCTAATGCTAATAAACTCTAAGCTCACAGTTAGCTGATGTGGAGTTTACAAACTCTAAGCTCACAGTTAGCTGAAGTTAGCTCTAATGCTAATAAACTCTAAGCTCACAGTTAGCTGAAGTG